ATTACATACGGTTTATTATTTAGACAATCAAACACATCCAAAAGTTACTAAGAACATTGGTGTTGCACATTCTGAATCTATATTTTGAATGTCAGTTCCTTTTTTGCCAACACATCTTGTGGAATTATGGCACATAAAATATGGTTTATGGTACAGTTGCAATCGTGCAGCAAGCGTAAAGAGAGGGGCGTTCAAACATGTACTGTATAGAATAATCTAAATAAAATATTTTTTTCATATCCTGTTTTGTTTCCCCGTCATTTGCCTGTGATAAAAACACCTGGTCAATCCACAATCATTTAACTTTCTGAATATGAGAAAATTTGTTTGAGTAGAGAAAGTTGCATTGCTATATTTTCACAGGTTAAGACCTTTTTAACTTAGCAAGCATTTTTTGTCTATGAGGAATACACAGCAAAATGCTAACATATGCTAATTGGCGTGCTTGCATTTCCATTTGCCCTCGAGAATAGTGGGTTCATTAACTGAACAAACAGAACCACCTCACTCGAAATATCACTTTAATTAAGACTACAGGCAGCAATACAACCACCAAGGGAAGGGGCTCAGCTCCAAATGCCACACCTGGAATTGAGCTTCGGGCTGCTCTCTTTGTGCCCTTTACTTTCTGCATTTCAGGAAACATGTGAGAACTAGAGTATGGCCAGGAATGGGTCGAGTAATTGGGTCGCTATATGACAGAAAATAATTGTACTAATAAGGGAATGGTCGTCCTTAGAGAGCAGAGAGGGGGGCAGCATAACCTTCTGTGGAGTAAGAGGATCCTATGGGATGACTGAAAGGGGTCAGATTGGCTTACCTGGTAATGACTAACACACTGGGGCTGCTCTAAAAATAACACAAGCCAAAAGTGTCTGAGACGTTAAAGGGGAAGTCAGTTCACTCATCTAAAACACAAATTATATTATGTGTCATTTGCAATAATTCATAATGATATATTACTGCTCCCTGACACTCCACACAAGAGCTTTAATTGAGCTGCACTGGTCATCAGCGCAGGGGAGCTGTCCTTTGTCATGGTCCTGAAAGTGACAGTGATGCGCTTTCTGCAATTGTCCACTAGAGGGCACAGCCGGTCTATTCTTTAAAGATGCTGGTGCTGAAAGGCTCAAAGTATACTTTATGAAGGGGCAGATTTAAAAAAAATGTAAAATACATAATTGCATAATTACAACTTATATATAAATAAACGAAGCTATTATTAGTTTGCTATTCGCTGTTATTATTCATTATTATATATTATAATTATTATTTATAAAGTATATCAGTAAATTAAATCAATGAATAAAACAAATTATAGCCATTTATATAATATCCAGTCATAATTCAAGATGGTATTATAATTATATTGAATACAATAAACACACAAGCATATCCAATTATAAACAAGTGATTTTACATTTAATCTTAGTTGTTACATATTATATAAACATTTTTAAATGAAAACATCACCAGTAGATGGCGTCTGGGTTTCTGGTATTGCTGTGTTTCAGATGACATCACAGCACGCTATAGGACAATATTTATTAGTACAAATGGGGGGCAGCTAAAATTAAAAATATCAAAATAAAAATTATGTTGTTACAGTTATACAGAGTTCTAGGCTTTAGTCAAGAATTGAAAATACCCGGTTCAACATTTGTGAGTTTACATTTTGGATATTTTATAGCAAAGTACAATGTAATCAATAGGGAAATCTGTCTCTTGCCCCTCATTTGGGAGTATGACATCATCACATTGAATAATCTGAAAACCAAGAGGCAGAAAACAGACACAGTGAGCTGCTACAGAGGGAAGCTTTCTCCCTATGACTAAGATTATTTTAGCATATGGGTATTTGACATGAAACCCATTTTCACTTTAAATGACTTTCCAATTCATGTTTTTTTCTTTCTCCAAAATTCTAATCAACTGTGCACAAATATGCATTCTATAAATTACATATAGTTTTGGAATTAAGTCCTCTATTCATTTCTTTGTATTTTAACACTAAACACTCAAATGTCCTCCGTTTTGAAAACTTTTCTTTAAAAAATTCTACAATGAGTCTCTTGTGTCAGAGACAGTTCTTAAAGGTGTCGGCATAAAGGAAAGCATGATTTAATAATTTTACAAATTTATCGCTACTTTAAATCTAAAGAAAAGATATAAGCAGTTTAATGCAGTTTAATCTAAATTGTACAAGAAAAAAAATCACATATTTAAAAAGACAGTTACACAAAAACGAGGAGCTCATCTGACATTTATGCACCAGGAAGCGCTCTGAACAAATGTAATAATGATCATTTTGTTTTATTTTGTTAAATCGAATTATTCTGAAAAACACTGGACATGCAGCTGTTTGATGTCTTGTGGTGTGACAACTGCAATTTTTCAGAAAGATTTAAATTCTAATTGTTAAAAAGATATTCTTCAAGATCGGACAACTACATAATAGTGAAACCAATACTATAGACCGGTGAAGTCATTTATTAGAATTTTCTGACATGACAAATTTGTCGTGTATGTCCAGTGGAGTGGCAAGAAGAGTCACACCTCAAGTCTAAAATGTCTAAAATTAAAAGACTTACGCAAAAAAATAATTTGTGCTTTTGAAAACGCTTTTTTACAGTTGTTGTAGAACTGATTTTTTTTTTTTTAATAATTTGGGGATTTTTGTACATATTCATGTCACACGGCAGGACAGAAAAAAAAAAACATATATCAAATCTGCATCCATAATAATTATCTGTCTGGTTTGTTTGCTTTTCTTTTGTTTTATATATGTATATATATATATATATATATATATATATATATATGCTTGAAGCTGTACAATATCAACAGGACTCTAAGGGCGTTCATTGCGAACTCGATGCGGTTGTGGAAAACCACCCTTGAAGCCAAGGGGAAGCCACTTGCACATGTGTCCATCAAATGTGGCATATACCAAGGAGACTCACTGTCCCCACTACTGTTCTGCATAGGCCTGAACCCTCTCAGCCAAATAATCGACCGCACTGGCTATGGATACCGACTCAGAAACGGGGCCACCATCAGTCACCTCCTCTACATGGATGACATCAAGCTGTACGCTAAGAGTGAGCGAGACATCGACTCACTGATCCACACCACAAGGATCTACAGTACAGACATTGGGATGTCATTTGGGCTTGAGAAATGTAGCAGGATGGTGACAAAGAGAGGGAAGGTAGTCCACACAGAGGGGGTGTCACTCCCAGAGGGAACAATAGCAGACGTTGAGGACAGTTACAAGTACCTTGGTATCCCACAAGCAAATGGCAACCTCGAAGAGGCAACAAGGAAAGCGGCTACGGCCAAATACCTGCAAAGAGTGAGGCAAGTCCTTAGAAGCCAGCTCAATGGCAAGAACAAGGTGCAGGCAATCAACAGCTACGCCCTGCCAGTGATCAGATACCCTGCAGGGATTGTAAGCTGGCCAAAGGAGGAGATACAGACCACAGATGTTAAGACACGAAAGCTCCTGACCATGGAGGGTTCCATCCCAAATCCAGCACCCTGAGACTGTACGCAGGCCGGAAGGAAGGGGGCCGAGGACTAGTGAGTGTGGGAACCACTGTCCAGGATGAAACATCCAAGCTCCTTGAGTACATCAAGGACAAGGCCCCGGCAGATGAGGTGCTCAGAGAATGTCTCAGACAGTGGGGTCCAGAGGAAGAGGTGCTGGAGGGACCATCATGGCAGGACAAACCCCTACATGGGGCGTACCACCGGAACATAACTGAAGTGGCTGATATCAAGAAATCCTACCAATGGCTTGAGAGGGCTGGTCTGAAGGACAGCACAGAGGCACTGATCCTGGCTGCTCAGGAGCAGGCCCTGGGCACTCGAGCAATAGAGGCCCAGATCTACCACACCAGACAAGACCCACGGTGTAGACTGTGCAAAGAGGCTCCTGAGACAGTCCAGCACATAACTGCAGGGTGTAAGATGCTGGCAGGGAAAGCATACATGGAGCGACATAACCAAGTGGCGGGCATAGTGTACAGAAACATCTGTGCAGAGTACGGGCTGGAAACCCCAGGATCAAGGTGGGAAACACCTCCAAAGGTTGTGGAGAATGACCGAGCCAAGATCCTGTGGGACTTCCAGATCCAGACTGACAGAATGGTGATGGCGAACCAACCAGACATAGTGGTGGTGGATAAGAAACAGAGCAGAGCCGTGGTGGTTGACATCGCAATACCAAGCGATGGTAATATCAGGAAAAAGGAACACGAGAAGCTAGAGAAATACCAGGGGCTCAAGGAAGAGCTGGAGAGAGCCTGGAAAGTAAAGGCATCAGTGGTGCCTGTGGTGATCGGAGCACTCGGGGCTGTAACCCCCAAACTGGAAGAGTGGCTACAACAGATACCGGGAAAAACAACGGACATCTCAGTCCAGAAAAGTGCAGTACTGGGAACAGCAAAGATACTGCGCAGAACTCTCAAGCTCCCAGGCCTCTGGTAGAGGACCCGAGCTCAATGAGGGTGAGAGAGACCTACCACCGTGGAAGGTGAGAAACACATTTTTATATATATATATCTGAACAAGATTCATATTATATATATATATATATATATATATAATATATATATATATATATATATATATATATATATATATAAAACTATGAATCTTGTTCAGTCTTTGTTCTAAATATAAAATTACTGATGTGAGATGGTACAGTATTCAAGAAAGCAATTAATAAAAAAAAGATTACAAAATAGATCTAGGGTGGCGCTATTGGGTTCATGAAAAGCTCAGACAGATTTGACAGTGACTCGCTGTGGGGCGGACCACAAAGCCAATGGAAAGCGCGGTGGTTCCGGAATTGAGAAAGCATTTTATTTACTTTTTTTAAAAGCTGCATTCAATGGTCATGTTCTCCAGGACACCGTGCTCCGTACAGCTCCAGAGTTTTTATGAATGATATCAGGCCAAGAATTTTCTCAATCTGAAAGGTAAAATTACGACTTATGATGACGGCCTGGACAAGGTACGTGCTGCTTGCTTTGACTGTTTTGTCTTATCTGCATCGAGTTTCTACATCTGTGACTCATTACTCCATACCAGAAGAAATGAAAGAAGAATCTGTTGTTGCTAATCTCGCAAATGACTTAAACCTGGATTTGAAAACACTGAACGAGAGAAAGATGCGTCTTGACATTATCGCGAACAAGAAATATCTGGACGTGAACAAAGAGACGGGGGAGCTGTACATCGTTGAAAAGATTGACAGAGAACACATTTGCCCTACAAAATCTGCTACATCCTGTTACTTAAAACTGGAAGTAACGCTAGAAAATCCTTTAAGAATATTTAACATAGAGGTCGAAATTGTGGACATAAACGACAACGCCCCTCATTTTCGCAGAGACGCTATTCATTTGGACATATCAGAGGCCACGCAGAAAGGAGAGAGATTTTCGTTGAGTAACGCAGTAGATCCTGATGTTGACAGTAATACACTTAAAACATATTACTTGAGTGAAAGTGATCATTTTAATATTGAGGTTCAAACAGGACGAGACGGGACAAAACTGGCTGATCTGATTTTGACAAAGACTTTAGACAGAGAGCAGCAGGCTGTCCACAATTTAGTTCTGACTGCTGTAGACGGCGGGACACCGGCTCGGTCTGGCACCGCGAGCATTATTGTGCATGTACTGGACACTAATGATAATGCTCCTATATTTGATAAAGACAATTATAACATTAAAGTAATGGAAAATTCTCCTGTTGGCAGTTTAGTTGTTTATTTAAATGCGACAGATTTGGATGAGGGATCAAACTCAGATGTATCGTATTCATACAGCCTTTATACATCAGAAAAAGCCCAAGAGACATTTAATCTGAATCAAAAAACTGGTGAAATAACAGTTAAAGGCGTGTTAAATTATGAAGATAATAAAATCTATGATATGGAGATTATTGCCACTGATAAAGGAGTCAATAGTTTATCAGGACAATGTACAGTAAGAGTTATTGTTGAAGACATGAATGATAATCACCCAGAAATATCTATTAAGTCTTTTCAGAGCCCTGTTGGTGAGGACATAGAGGTGGACACAGTGATAGCTGTGGTCAGTGTCAGTGATAAAGACTCAGGAGACAATGGAGAGGTCACTCTCCATATTCCTCGTCACATGCCTTTTACACTGCGCCAGTCTTCTGATAACTATTATGAACTGGTGGTGTCTGAGCCTTTAGACCGGGAGAAAGTCCCTGAGTACGACATCACCTTCACTGTCACAGACAGAGGCTCTCCTCCATTATCTGACAATGAGACTATGACTTTAGAGCTGCTGGACGTGAACGACAATGTGCCACAGTTCCCCCAGTCCTTTTACACTATACGTGTCCCAGAGAATAACGCTCCAGGAGCCCTGCTCGGCTCACTCACGGCCTTTGACCCTGACCTCCATGAAAACCAGTATCTAGTTTACTTCATCCTGGAGAAGGAGGTAGCCAACACCTCCATGTCCATGCTGTTCTCCATCAACCCAGAGAACGGGAACTTGTACGCGCTCAAAACATTTGACTATGAGATAGAGAAGGAGTTTCTGTTCCACATCGAGGCCAGAGACTCGGGCTCTCCTCCTCTGAGCAGTAACGTGACTGTTCACATCATTATTGTGGACCAAAACGACAACGCTCCGGTCATCGTGTCTCCGTGGCGCGCACACGGCTCAGTGGTGGAGGAGAAGATCCCCAGGTCCACTGATAAAGGCTCGCTGGTGGCCAAAGTGATCGCTCTGGACACTGACTCTGTGCACAACTCTCGCATCACCTACCAGTTTCTACAGGTCACTGACGCCACACTGTTCAATCTGGACCAATACAACGGAGAGATCCGCACCATGAGGATGTTCAGTTACAGAGACCCGCGCCACCAGCAGCTGGTGGTGGTTGCCAAGGACAACGGGCAGCCCTCCCTGTCGGCCACAGTGACCATCAAACTGTCCACGGTGGAGACGGCCGTGAAGGCCTACTCTGACATGACCGAGGTGCCTCTGGAGTACGACATCTTCTCAGACCTGAACCTGTATCTGGTCATTGGTCTGGGCTCGGTCTCCTTCCTCCTGCTCATCACCATACTGGTCACCATCGTACTCAAGTGTCAGAAACCCAAGTCCAGCAGCAAAGCTCCTCCTCCCTGCAGGAACAGTGTGATCAGTGAGAGGAACTCCACCATCGCAGACTCCACTCTGGTGTCCAACGATGCCTACTGGTACAGCCTGTTCCTGGCAGAGACCAGGAAAGGAAAACTGGTGGTGAGACAGCCTGTGCCCAAAGGCTCCAGATACATAGTGTCCAGTATACCACGAGGCACAGGAGTATCAGACACCAGCGACTCTGCAGCCTCCACTCTGCAGGTAAGAATGCCATCAAAGCTGTTTTTCCTGCTTTAAGAAAATGATGCATGTGTTTGAATAAACCATTTATTTTTACAGACATTTTAAGATATCTAAATACAGTTTTTACTATTCAGAAATAATAAAAACATAAAAATACACAACGACAATGACCTCTCAATAGTTTACGTTGCACCTTTATATCTCTTAAATCATGCATCAATTTATTTCACTGTATTAGATATAAAAAAAAATTGCATTGCGAATTCGGTGATGAATATAATAATAAAAAATAGAACAACAAAAACAACAATAATAATAATACCGTGTTAGCTATTTTTTGTCAATACTGTTTGATCCATAACCAAAACGTTTAGATTCTCAAGAGTGTCGCTGTTCACCAGAAAAATTGAACGATGCAAACATGGTGACGTAAAAGCAAAATGGCAGGAACCAACTCATGACTATCGCCTTCGAGCTGGAACGAAGATTTTACACGCATTTTACTTGAACGCATCAAGCATTGTAAGTTTCTTTACCAGTGTACGCGTCTCTGCCGAAATATCAAAACTACAGCCTTACCCGTTGGATTACACATTAGAAAGGAGATGCCAAAGACTCGTATCCTGCACACAATGAAACCCAGTGTAACAATGCAGTCGTGGCAAAGGTACGTGATGGTCTTCGTATTTTTTTCTTGTCTTCGCCTCGTCCCTGCTTCAGTGACACATTACACTATCCCGGAGGAGATGAAAGTGAGATCTATCGTGTCTAACCTCGCTACCGATTTGGGCCTGGATGTGAAAACACTGAATAATAGAAAAATGCGCATTGACCTAATCGCAAACAAAAAATACCTTGAGATAAACAAAGACACGGGTGAGCTATTCGTTGCAGAGAGGATTGACAGAGAAACCCTTTGCCCCAAAATGTTATCATCTTGTTACTTAAAAATGGAGGTCATACTTGAAAATCCTGTGCGAATATTCAACATAGAGATTGAGATTTTGGACATTAATGACAACGCCCCACAGTTCCGACGCGATGTGATACATTTGGACATATCCGAGTCTACACCTATTGGGGAAAGATTCTCTCTGAGTAATGCAGTGGATCCAGACGTTGGGATTAATACAGTAAAAACGTACCATCTGAGCGAGAGTGAACACTTTACTTTAGAGGTCCAAACAAGCAGAGATGGATCAAAACTTGCGGATTTGATTTTAGCAAAAGCTTTGGACCGCGAGCGCCAGGCCGTCTTCAATTTAATTCTAACCGCTATAGACGGTGGGACGCCAGCTGGGTCTGGAACAGCAAGCGTTATTGTTCAGGTACTAGACACAAATGACAATGCCCCTGTCTTTGACCAGACGGTATACTGTTAGTATACAGGAAAATGCCCCTGTAGGTAGCCTTGTTATTAACCTTAACGCAAGTGATTTGGATGAGGGATCAAATTCAGATGTATCATATTCATACAGCCTTTATACATCAGAAAAAGCCCAAGAGACATTTAATCTAAACCCTAAATCTGGTGAAATTACAGTCAAAGGCGTGTTAAATTATGAAGATAATAAAATCTATGATATGGAGATTATTGCCACTGATAAAGGAGTCAATAGTTTATCAGGCCAATGTACAGTAAGAGTTATTGTTGAAGACATGAATGATAATCACCCAGAAATATCTATTAAGTCTTTTCAGAGCCCTGTTGGTGAGGACATAGAGGTGGACACAGTGATAGCTGTGGTCAGTGTCAGTGATAAAGACTCAGGAGACAATGGAGAGGTCACTCTCCATATTCCTCGTCACATGCCTTTTACACTGCGCCAGTCTTCTGATAACTATTATGAACTGGTGGTGTCTGAGCCTTTAGACCGGGAGAAAGTCCCTGAGTACGACATCACCTTCACTGTCACAGACAGAGGCTCTCCTCCATTATCTGACAATGAGACTATGACTTTAGAGCTGCTGGACGTGAACGACAATGTGCCACAGTTCCCCCAGTCCTTTTACACTATACGTGTCCCAGAGAATAACGCTCCAGGAGCCCTGCTCGGCTCACTCACGGCCTTTGACCCTGACCTCCATGAAAACCAGTATCTAGTTTACTTCATCCTGGAGAAGGAGGTAGCCAACACCTCCATGTCCATGCTGTTCTCCATCAACCCAGAGAACGGGAACTTGTACGCGCTCAAAACATTTGACTATGAGATAGAGAAGGAGTTTCTGTTCCACATCGAGGCCAGAGACTCGGGCTCTCCTCCTCTGAGCAGTAACGTGACTGTTCACATCATTATTGTGGACCAAAATGACAACGCTCCGGTCATCGTGTCTCCGTGGCGCGCACACGGCTCAGTGGTGGAGGAGAAGATCCCCAGGTCCACTGATAAAGGCTCGCTGGTGGCCAAAGTGATCGCTCTGGACACTGACTCTGTGCACAACTCTCGCATCACCTACCAGTTTCTACAGGTCACTGACGCCACACTGTTCAATCTGGACCAATACAACGGAGAGATCCGCACCATGAGGATGTTCAGTTACAGAGACCCGCGCCACCAGCAGCTGGTGGTGGTTGCCAAGGACAACGGGCAGCCCTCCCTGTCGGCCACAGTGACCATCAAACTGTCCACGGTGGAGACGGCCGTGAAGGCCTACTCTGACATGACCGAGGTGCCTCTGGAGTACGACATCTTCGACCTGAACCTGTATCTGGTCATTGGTCTGGGCTCGGTCTCCTTCCTCCTGCTCATCACCATACTGGTCACCATCGTACTCAAGTGTCAGAAACCCAAGTCCAGCAGCAAAGCTCCTCCTCCCTGCAGGAACAGTGTGATCAGTGAGAGGAACTCCACCATCGCAGACTCCACTCTGGTGTCCAACGATGCCTACTGGTACAGCCTGTTCCTGGCAGAGACCAGGAAAGGAAAACTGGTGGTGAGACAGCCTGTGCCCAAAGGCTCCAGATACATAGTGTCCAGTATACCACGAGGCACAGGAGTATCAGACACCAGCGACTCTGCAGCCTCCACTCTGCAGGTAAGTGCACATACTCGGAGAATATTTGCCCACTTTTGGCATTACCAAATAAAAATTAATAATAATAATAATAATAATAATAATAATAATAATAATAATAACCTAAAGATACTCCTTGTACCTCTTCTGATGGATGGTTCACTTTGCTTGTCTCCAGGGATATGTTATAGCTTTTTTTCAACATGAACTGTTGTTATTTTTTTACATGGCTTGAAATAAGAATGGAATAAGATTTGGTTTATGGATATACTTTGTTGGCATCTTTGCTACTACACTATACTGTACTCTTCAAACTCAATTATTTCTTTGTGTACAATTAATAGGTAATTCTGTCTCATCAGTCCTTTATTTTGGAAATATGCTTTATATTACAGTATGCCTTATTGTGTGGTTTATTTAGTTTAATTAATGTAGAGTATGAAAGAATGGTGATGTTCCTGAAATCCCTTAGTCATCTAGGTAGGATCCATAGGAAAGGAGAAATTCAATTTCTGTCAAATGGACAAAAACAAACAAAAACAAACAAACAAACATTTCTGTTCAGTTGACATAATTGAATTTCTCCTTTGCTAAAGAGTATTGATATACTGTTTGTAAAATATTTATAAAATTATTAGCTTTGAAAAAATAAACACAACATCAAATTGAACATAAAACAAAGAAAACCCCCAAAAGCAAAGAAGTTAACACAAAAACAGTCGACATATACTGCTCATCTACAGCGAACAGGACCGTCGTAACATTTTAAGTTAGTGGCATTGCTGTTCCATATTTAGACTTATCAAACCATTTTATATAATGCAAAAGTTTCTAACGAAAACCAAAGTCCAGACAACTTCACTTAGCTTATATTAAATCAGTGGAAATGTATCTTTAAGACAATGCATTTTCAGCTAAACTAAACATCTATTGGAGTGAAGGCGTCATTTCCAAACAGACAGATTTGTCGCTGCTGTCCACAAAAACACACAAACATGATGTCATCTCTAAATCGCGCTCTCATTGGAGGGCGGTTCGTTACTCAGAACTTAGCTCAGAAGCGCTTCGTTGCGCCCAGCACTGCTTTGTGTAAATCGTTTTTCATTTTCAACGTAAGGACGTCTCTCAAACGGATAGCACAACACTAAAAATGACCTATCAGTATTTACGTTATGTTTGGAAATGGTGCGTATTGTCATTTGTTATTCTTCTAATTTTAGTAAAAGTGGTGGCCACCATCACCCATTATTCTGTTCCCGAAGAAATGGAGGAAGGAGCTGTGGTCGCCAATTTAGCGACAGATTTGGGCTTGGACGTAAAGACTCTCAAAAGAAGAGAAATGCGCATTGACGTGGTAGGAAACAAAAAATATCTTGACATTAACAAAGACACGGGGGAACTGTTTATTTTAGAAAGGATCGACAGGGAATTTTTGTGTCCATTGAAAACCACAACTTACTGCTTTCTAAAATTGGATGCTACGATAGAAAACCCAATACGCATGTTTAATATTGAGGTTGAGGTAACGGATATTAATGACAACGCTCCACATTTCCGTCGCGGGACGATGCATTTGGACATTTCTGAATCAAGTCCCGTTGGAGAGAGGTTTTCACTGAATAACGCCGTTGATCCGGATGTGGGAACAAATTCGGTTAAAGATTATCATCTGAGCGTAAACGAGTATTTTCAAATTGAGATCCAAACAGGGAGAGATGGGTCCAAGTTTGCAGATTTGGTTTTGAAAAAGGCATTGGACAGAGAGCAGCAGGCTGTTCATAATCTGATTCTCACCGCGGTGGATGGAGGGGTCCCCACGCGCACAGGTACAGCCAGCATTATTGTCCGCGTGCTTGACGTGAACGACAACGCCCCTTCGTTTGATGAAGACAAGTATGTTGTTGATGTTTTAGAAAATTCCCCAGTTGGCAGTTTAGTGATTAAACTGAATGCTACAGATTTAGATGAAGGCTCCAACTCTGATTTAGTTTACTCTTACAGCCTGTACACATCAGAGAGGACACAGAACATGTTTACTCTGAACCCGGACAATGGTGAAATCAGAGTGAAAGAGATGATCAATTATGAAGATTTTAAGATTTATGAAATGGAGGTCATTGCCAGTGACAAGGGACCTAACCCATTATCTGGACATTGTAAAGTGACTATACAGGTCACAGACATGAATGACAACCACCCAGATATTTCAATTAAATCTTTTCAAAGTCCAATTAAGGAAAATGAGCCCATAGACACAGTCATAGCTGTAGTCAGTGTTAATGACAAAGATTCTGGGAACAATGGGCTGGTTGATCTCTCTGTTCCACCTAATTTACCTTTTAAACTGCGCCAGTCTTCTGATAACTATTATGAACTGGTGGTGTCTGAGCCTTTAGACCGGGAGAAAGTCCCTGAGTACGACATCACCTTCACTGTCACAGACAGAGGCTCTCCTCCATTATCTGACAATGAGACTATGACTTTAGAGCTGCTGGACGTGAACGACAATGTGCCACAGTTCCCCCAGTCCTTTTACACTATACGTGTCCCAGAGAATAACGCTCCAGGAGCCCTGCTCGGCTCACTCACGGCCTTTGACCCTGACCTCCATGAAAACCAGTATCTAGTTTACTTCATCCTGGAGAAGGAGGTAGCCAACACCTCCATGTCCATGCTGTTCTCCATCAACCCAGAGAACGGGAACTTGTACGCGCTCAAAACATTTGACTATGAGATAGAGAAGGAGTTTCTGTTCCACATCGAGGCCAGAGACTCGGGCTCTCCTCCTCTGAGCAGTAACGTGACTGTTCACATCATTATTGTGGACCAAAACGACAACGCTCCGGTCATCGTGTCTCCGTGGCGCGCACACGGCTCAGTGGTGGAGGAGAAGATCCCCAGGTCCACTGATAAAGGCTCGCTGGTGGCCAAAGTGATCGCTCTGGACATTGACTCTGTGCACAACTCTCGCATCACCTACCAGTTTCTACAGGTCACTGACGCCACACTGTTCAATCTGGACCAATACAACGGAGAGATCCGCACCATGAGGATGTTCAGTTACAGAGACCCGCGCCACCAGCAGCTGGTGGTGGTGGCCAAGGACAACGGGCAGCCCTCCCTGTCAGCCACAGTGACCATCAAACTTTCCACGGTGGAGACGGCCGTGAAGGCCTACTCTGACATGACCGAGGTGCCTCTGGAGTACGACATCTTCTCAGACCTGAACCTGTATCTGGTCATTGGTCTGGGCTCGGTCTCCTTCCTCCTGCTCATCACCATACTGGTCACCATCGTACTCAAGTGTCAGAAACCCAAGTCCAGCAGCAAAGCTCCTCCTCCCTGCAGGAACAGTGTGATCAGTGAGAGGAACTCCACCATCGCAGACTCCACTCTGGTGTCCAACGATGCCTACTGGTACAGCCTGTTCCTGGCAGAGACCAGGAAAGGAAAACTGGTGGTGAGACAGCCTGTGCCCAAAGGCTCCAGATACATAGTGTCCAGTATACCACGAGGCACAGGAGTATCAGACACCAGCGACTCTGCAGCCTCCACTCTGCAGGTAAGTTTGCATAGTAGACCTACATCAAGAACAGATTACTTGTTACAGTGGAAGTAACATTTCAGATTTTAACTTGAACTTAAGCAATCTCTTTTTGTTTAATGACACTCTCAAGTTAAACTGAACACACAGATTACTACTTATACTAAACCTATCAAGGCTCATGAAACTGATTATATTTCTATACAATGCATTAAAATTAAATATTAAACACTTTGAGAATTTGTTCATCTGTAGGTGTTGTAAAGCAAGTGGACATGACTTCATAATACAAGCTTTTTAACTGGTCTTCCTCATCTTACTACTTTTATCTGAATAAATAACAACAACAACAACAAACAACAACAACAACAACAACAATAATAAATCTGTATGTTAACTGTTACTTTAATGGGCCTTCATTTATATTTGAATGTGATCAATTTATGCAACCTTATTGCAGACTATGAAACTAGATGGTAGTTCTTTACACCTAAGTTAATAGCACTGGTACTACAGACGATAGTTTGATAAATATGCAAACACAATGATAATATTCAAGTTAAAATAAATAAGTAAATCAATAAAAACAAAATAAACAAAGAAACCTCTCATCTTAGTTGTATGTAAATGTGAATTAACTGACTGTAATGTATTATTGGACAAACAAGCCTAAAAACATCGGTACGTGTTACGCGGACAGCGTAATTTCCAAACAGACAGCTTTGTCGCTGCTGTCCACAAAAACATACTAACATGATGTCATTCCGAAATCGCGCTCTCATTGGAGGGCGGTTGTTACTCAGAACTGAGCTCAGAAGGGTTTCGTTGCTCGCAACACTGCACTGTCTAAATCGTTTTTCATTTTCTATTTAAGGACATCTCACAGACGGATAATACAACATTAAACATGATCTATCAAGATGCATGTTATCTTTGGAAACCGCGCATTTTACCATTAGTTGTTTTTCTAACTTCAATGGAAGTGGTGGCCACCATCACCCATTATTCTATTCCTGAAGAAATGGAGGAAGGAGCTGTGGTCGCCAATTTAGCGACAGATTTGGGCTTGGACGTAAAGACTCTCAAAAGAAGAGAAATGCGCATTGACGTGGTAGGAAACAAAAAATATCTTGACATTAACAAAGACACGGGGGAACTGTTAATTTTAGAAAGGATCGATAGGGAGTTTTTGTGTCCATTGAAAACAGCAGCTTACTGCTTCCTTAAATTAGACGCAACGATAGAAAATCCTGTGCGCATGTTTAATATTGAGGTTGAGGTAACGGATATTAATGACAACGCTCCACATTTCCGTCGCGGGACGATGCATTTGGACATTTCTGAATCAAGTCCCATTGGAGAGAGGTTTTCTCTAAATAATGCGGTAGACCCAGACGTTGGGACAAATTCAGTTAAAGATTATCATCTGAGCGTAAGTGAATATTTTGGTCTAGAAATTCAGACAAGCAGAGATGGGTCCAAGTTTGCAGATTTGGTTTTGAAAAAGACATTGGACAGAGAGCAGCAGGCTGTTCATAATCTGATTCTCACCGCGGTGGATGGAGGGGTCCCCACGCGCACAGGTACAGCCAGCATTATTGTCCGCGTGCTTGACGTGAACGACAACGCCCCTTCGTTTGATGAAGACAAGTATGTTGTTGATGTTTTAGAAAATTCCCCAGTTGGCAGTTTAGTGATTAAACTGAATGCTACAGATTTAGATGAAGGCTCCAACTCTGATTTAGTTTACTCTTACAGCCTGTACACATCAGAGAGGACACAGAACATGTTTACTCTGAACCCGGACAATGGTGAAATCAGAGTCAAAGAAATGATCAATTATGAAGATTTTAAGATTTATGAAATGGAGGTCATTGCCAGTGACAAGGGGCCTAACCCATTATCTGGACATTGTAAAGTGACTATACAGGTCACAGACATGAATGACAACCACCCAGATATTTCAATTAAATCTTTTCAAAGTCCAATTAAGGAAAATGAGCCCATAGACACAGTCATAGCTGTAGTCAGTGTTAATGACAAAGATTCTGGGAACAATGGGCTGGTTGATCTCTCTGTTCCACCTAATTTACCTTTTACACTGCGCCAGTCTTCTGATAACTATTATGAACTGGTGGTGTCTGAGCCTTTAGACCGGGAGAAAGTCCCTGAGTACGACATCACCTTCACTGTCACAGACAGAGGCTCTCCTCCATTATCTGACAATGAGACTATGACTTTAGAGCTGCTGGACGTGAACGACAATGTGCCACAGTTCCCCCAGTCCTTTTACACACTATACGTGTCCCAGAGAATAACGCTCCAGGAGCCCTGCTCGGCTCACTCACGGCCTTTGACCCTGACCTCCATGAAAACCAGTATCTAGTTTACTTCATCCTGGAGAAGGAGGTAGCCAACACCTCCATGTCCATGCTGTTCTCCATCAACCCAGAGAACGGGAACTTGTACGCGCTCAAAACATTTGACTATGAGATAGAGAAGGAGTTTCTGTTCCACATCGAGGCCAGAGACTCGGGCTCTCCTCCTCTGAGCAGTAACGTGACTGTTCACATCATTATTGTGGACCAAAACGACAACGCTCCGGTCATCGTGTCTCCGTGGCGCGCACACGGCTCAGTGGTGGAGGAGAAGATCCCCAGGTCCACTGATAAAGGCTCGCTGGTGGCCAAAGTGATCGCTCTGGACATTGACTCTGTGCACAACTCTCGCATCACCTACCAGTTTCTACAGGTCACTGACGCCACACTGTTCAGTCTGGACCAATACAACGGAGAGATCCGCACCATGAGGATGTTCAGTTACAGAGACCCGCGCCACCAGCAGCTGGTGGTGGTTGCCAAGGACAACGGGCAGCCCTCCCTGTCGGCCACAGTGACCATCAAACTGTCCACGGTGGAGACGGCCGTGAAGGCCTACTCTGACATGACCGAGGTGCCTCTGGAGTACGACATCTTCTCAGACCTGAACCTGTATCTGGTCATTGGTCTGGGCTCAGTCTCCTTCCTCCTGCTCATCACCATACTGGTCACCATCGTACTCAAGTGTCAGAAACCCAAGTCCAGCAGCAAAGCTCCTCCTCCCTGCAGGAACAGTGTGATCAGTGAGAGGAACTCCACCATCGCAGACTCCACTCTGGTGTCCAACGATGCCTACTGGTACAGCCTGTTCCTGGCAGAGACCAGGAAAGGAAAACTGGTGGTGAGACAGCCTGTGCCCAAAGGCTCCAGATACATAGTGTCCAGTATACCACGAGGCACAGGAGTATCAGACACCAGCGACTCTGCAGCCTCCACTCTGCAGGTACAGGCCTCTTTGGCTCTCCAAAATAATTTTGATATCTAAATCTAACGTACTAGAATTATGAATATTGTGAACACATAAAACTAGATATTAAAAACTTATTTGATTGACAGTATGTTTCATATAAATTAATTCATGAGTTGTAAACATTAAATAATACATTTATATCATAATGATTGAAGGAAAATATATGTTTTCAAATTTAATAAACAAATAATCTGTATACCTATCAAACTTTATTAGTAAATCGCTTTTCATACAAAAATATAACACGAAGGAATTTACAGTCATTAAAAACAATCCTACAAACTACCCTCCACAACTTATTATCAATTCTGTCTTAAAATCAATACATTTCTATCCAACAGATCTGTTTCTATTGTTGCTGCATCCATTAAAAAAAAAAGTCAGACTCACATTCATCTTCATTTTATGACAACTTTAAATATGTCATGTTTTCTTCACAATACATATCAATGCGCTCCATCTTTCCATTCTTAACATTCCATATGCCTCACATTCTCAAAGGAATGTTGTTACATAGGTGCTGTATAACATTAAAAACAAAGGTAATACCCATACAATAAGTAAGTAATTCAACCTAAGATATAAAACTTTGCATGACTGAATGAAGATCTTTGATAGTCTTTCACCTGCTTGTTATTGCTTTGCTTGGAATGTTCCACACATGACATGAAACATATCCATAGCATTTATTCAATTACAGGTGTTTTTATTTCAACAAAAACAAAAAACATATATTCTTTTTTATGTGAGTGGGGTCGCCTTTTCACATAGTTGACCTGTGACTTTACCTATAGCATCACCAGATTAGTTTAATGCCATATTGCTGAACACTGAATGCGGAGTAGTTACATATTCATGGAGACAAGCAGGTGACTTACCCTCCTTTAAAAAAGTTATATAGTGAATTTTTAAATAACTGCTAATCTTATAAGATGGCAATATTCTCAGCTTTTGTGTTTGATTAATACAGTATCAGCTTGTCCTGTGGGACTTTAGGATACGCACAATTGTTATAGTCTTCATGTATGCATCTGCAGCAGACACATGACCAAATTGTAACAAGACATACACCTATTAAATGTTTAACATGCTACTTTATAAACATTGGTAAAAATTAAGGGGAAAAAAAAAAATCTTACCATACCATATTTTACACATCTCCTACAAATCAATTAAGTATGAAATAGATCTTACAGTGCCAGGTTAGACTACTTTTTCTTTTATTCATGTTGGCCTTATTCCACTGGGAAACAAATGCATTCCTTGTTGAAATCCAAAGAGAAAGTATACCTGCATCTTGTGTGAAAATGATACTGTCCTGTTAAATCAGAGTAAACCTCAGTTACTGAGTGTGGAGAGTAGCACAATTAAGTGATTACTGGGATGTCTAGATGAGTGATTAATAATAATATAATAATAATAATAATAATATAATAATAAACACATCTCTGAGCTGTCCCGGACTGAGGCAGACTATTAGACTTAAAAGAGATCTGGGTTATGTTCAGATTTAATGCCCAGTGGTAGATGGATGGCAATACAGACAACAGGACATGTAACAAGCACAAAACAAACCAACCAACCAACCAAACAGACAAACAAAACAGTCAAGTCCAATCACATCATAAAAATACATTAGATGTCACCGAAATGCTATAAACTGAAATTTGTAAAATTAGAACATCCAAATAGCACACAAAATTGACTTAGACAAAATGTATTGATCCACAAGGGAAATTATTTAGACAGTGGCTCACACATGACAATATATTATAGTAAGAAAAAGATAAAAGTTTTAATACAATATAAATTATACAAATGTACAAGTTAAAATAGTCATAAAAATACATCTCATCTATACAACAGCTCATGAGGAAAAGCAGTGCAGATGAAATAGTGATTGACAGGACATAGGGTTATCTGTTACATAAGGATGAATTGTTGTCCAGTTGTAGGAGTATGGTATGAATGTAGTCCTGTATCTCTCACTGTTTGAGCGGTGCTGTAGGAGCCTCTTGGAGAATGAGCTCTGTCCCTCTATAGTCTGGTGCAGTGGATGAGCAGGAGTGTCCATGATGGAGAGCAGTCAGTTCAGTGTGCTCCTGTCCATCACTGTGACAGTTGTCTCCATCTCACAGCAAATCACATGACCAGCTTTACACATCAGTTTGTCAATTCGCCCAGTGTCTCTTTTTACTGGTGCTGCTCCCCCAGCAGACCACAGCAAAGTACAGGGCGCTGGCCACCACAGACTGGTAGAAGATCTCCAGTTACTTGCTGCACATTCAAAGACCTGAGCTTTCTCAGGAAGTAGAGTCTATTCATGCCCTTCTTGTACACAGCATAAGTATTGCCCCTCCAACCCACCCTGTTGTTCAGATGGAAAACTGAGATGTTTCCTTCTTTTTACCTAATCTGTTTATATAATAATTCTGAAGCATTTGTAACACTTAGCAAATTTCGATCTAGGCAGTACAATGTTTAGTATAAATTTACTCCAACTTTCCTGCCTAACATTTTATTGTCTTCTGAAGCACCCAAATTACTTTACTTTCGAGTATCAGTAATTTTCATTTCAATACGAGCAAAGTAAAACTATATTTACCTTAATAAATAAACAGAAGTGCTCATATAACATCAAAGTGAAAACTTGTGAACAGGGGTATGCACAGTTAGTTGTGTTGAATGTTTACAATTGGATTGTTGTTAAGTCTCTGGTGTGCTTTTGAGTCAGTGAGACAGAACACGAGGAGAGAACTAGAATGTTGCTCACAACAATATATAGAAATGTGGCATTTATATAGGGCATTGCAGTAAAACTATTTTGTTGCTTTTGTATCCTATAGTTTACACTGGGTCATTTCTGGTTTTAAATTTATTTTTACAGCTCCTGTGAGGCTTTTACACATGGCTGAGTCAACTACTTGCTGCATTTTATTTCGTATGTCTGTCTGGTAAAAGATGTAGAGATGTAAATGTAGAGCGTAACTGGGAATTTGAAATAGTGATGACAAATTACCATTCAAAACTTCACTTTGACAGAGTATGTGTATATACATAATTTTATTTTATATAAATATTCGTTTTTTTATGATTGCAGAAACCAATGTAAACTTATTTCGGCGCTGCTATCCATGAAAACATATTCCTAGTGAGGTCATCCTTTCCTCACTTGGCATTGGTGGAAGCATGTCATGTGCCGTCCTTTACGCATGTACTTTACGCGTCCCATTGCAATCTTTACTACACCACTGGCTGGTTATCTGATAAACGTATTGGTGTTCTACATAGTAAGATCATAAAATACCGACATAGTGACGCGTGCTATGGGTGAAAGTGCTTGTGCCACTATGTATTTTGCAATTACCGTCTTCGTTTATCTCGTGACGGACGCGGTTTTTGCCGTTACGCATTACTCTGTTCCCGAAGAAATGGAAGAAGCAGCTGTCGTCGCCAATTTAGCGGCAGATTTGGGTTTGGACGTGAAGACGCTGAATAAAAGAAAAATGCGCATTGACATCAGGGCAAATAAGAAATATCTCGACATCAACAAGGAAACTGGTGAGCTGTATGTTTTGGAGAGGATTGACAGAGAATTGCTGTGCCCAACTAAAACCACAACCTGCTTTCTAAAATTGGATGCTACAATAGAAAACCCAGTACGCATGTTTAATATTGAGGTAGAGATTATGGATATTAATGACAACGCTCCACACTTCCGTCGCGGAACGATGCATTTGGATATTTCTGAATCAAGTCCCGTCGGAGAGAGGTTTTCATTGAATAACGCAGAGGACCCAGACGTTGGGACAAATTCAGTTAAAGATTATCATCTGAGCGCGAGTGAATATTTTGGTCTAGAAATTCAGACAAGCAGAGATGGGTCAAAGTTTGCAGATTTGATTTTGAAAAAGGCATTGGACAGAGAGCAGCAGGCTGTTCATAATCTGATTCTCACCGCGGTGGATGGAGGGGTCCCCACGCGCACAGGTACAGCCAGCATTATTGTCCGCGTGCTTGACGTGAACGACAACGCCCCTTCGTTTGATGAAGACAAGTATGTTGTTGATGTTTTAGAAAATTCCCCAGTTGGCAGTTTAGTGATTAAACTGAATGCTACAGATTTAGATGAAGGCTCCAACTCTGATTTAGTTTACTCTTACAGCCTGTACACATCAGAGAGGACACAGAACATGTTTACTCTGAACCCAGACAATGGTGAAATCAGAGTGAAAGAGATGATCAATTATGAAGATTTTAAGATTTATGAAATGGAGGTCATTGCCAGTGACAAGGGACCTAACCCATTATCTGGACATTGTAAAGTGACTATACAGGTCACAGACATGAATGACAACCACCCAGATATTTCAATTAAATCTTTTCAAAGTCCAATTAAGGAAAATGAGCCCATAGACACAGTCATAGCTGTAGTCAGTGTTAATGACAAAGATTCTGGGAACAATGGGCTGGTTGATCTCTCTGTTCCACCTAATTTACCTTTTAAACTGCGCCAGTCTTCTGATAACTATTATGAACTGGTGGTGTCTGAGATTTTAGACCGGGAGAAAGTCCCTGAGTACGACATCACCTTCACTGTCACAGACAGAGGCTCTCCTCCATTATCTGACAATGAGACTATGACTTTAGAGCTGCTGGACGTGAACGACAATGTGCCACAGTTCCCCCAGTCCTTTTACACTATACGTGTCCCAGAGAATAATGCTCCAGGAGCCCTGCTCGGCTCACTCACGGCCTTTGACCCTGACCTCCATGAAAACCAGTATCTAGTTTACTTCATCCTGGAGAAGGAGGTAGCCAACACCTCCATGTCCATGCTGTTCTCCATCAACCCAGAGAACGGGAAAATTGTACGCGCTCAAAACATTTGACTATGAGATAGAGAAGGAATTTCTGTTCCACATTGAGGCAAGAGACTCGGGCTCTCCTCCTCTGAGCAGTAACGTGACTGTTCACATCATTATTGTGGACCAAAACGACAACGCTCCGGTCAT